ACATAGACATTGGCGATTTGACGTTTCTTCTATTGTTTTCCCTCTCAAAAATAAGGTCTAGAAAGGACTAATTTTTCTATTTTTTCCTTTTCTTTTAAGTTGAACCCTCCTTCACGCCATGAGAAAAAGAAAACAAAGAAGAAGGGTGAAGAGAAGGTAAGCGCAAAACAACAACAATAACAACGACAACTGCGACAAAAGAAAACGCAAAATACTGTAGAATAACTGTTCGGTTCACACTTATCATAATCAGAAGTCGAGAACACAAGACAAGACAGACGAATGCAGGCAAGCGTTCACCAACATAGACACAGTAGTTGTCATAAGAAGATAAGCTAATGACATAAGACAAAACAACTAGACGAATGTCACATCACTGAGTCTATAAATTTTTAAAATACTCGTTTGACGGAAGAGAAATCCATGAATATGTTTTTAAAATCAATGAGGTGACAATAACAAGATTCAAAGAGATGAGAACTTATATTGACGCGGGAATAAATATATATTTTTGCAAAGAGATGTATTCCATTCCTGGCGAAGGAAAAATGCTTGGTTAAGTTTTATAGGAAAAACTCTTTCCTTTTGTCTGATTATCGTTTACCAGTCGCCATTTTGAATGTTCATCCGAGGTCCGTTGGAGTAACGCATCGGTGGATAAACATATTCAYATCTATTTAAAATGACGACAGTAAACGATCGTTTGGTACTAAAAACACTCAACGATGCTGTGGCGTTCAATGCGAAGCTATTTTTGATGATGGTACTGATATCTGTATTTGAACGTGTTATTCCGCTCTTTTGTAGAAACCTGTTTGGCCGCCAGCTCTCTGGAAACGCTCGAAACTGCCAATGCCGTCTTCAAATTAATATTCGATGTCATTTCAGAATATTGAGATCAAATACGTAAAGTAAAAAAATGTAAAAATCAACATTCAAAGAAATAAAAAGATATAGTTCAAATAAGCCCATTTGGGATTTGTTTTGGAACTAAAAAGAGTCATCAACAAACAGACAATAACTATGAATGTACATTAGATTTTATCAAATCAGAACGAGCGATGATTTGGATAAAATTTAGTGAATCGTCGTTCTGCAACTGATCGTTGTTGTGCATATACTTTAACATAAGGAACACCTTGGTTTAGGGAAAACATACCCTCTAGTTGCTTAATTTGTTAATACCGTGTCAGACGTTTCTTGAGAAGTTTTCCACTTCAATAAGTATTTGGCCAAAAATCACAGAATCTGACACCGTTGAGTTTTCAGTTTCCAATTAAAAGTTTTTAATTCAAGGTCTAGGTAATTTTAGACGCTGTCCCCATCCCCTCCCCCCTCCTAAGAAAAACTACGCACTCCCTAATAACAATAACCACACGACCAAAATAACCATTAAAAACCTTTTCGAACCAGTGCTACGTCGCGTCAGTGCAGGTATTCCATTGTTTTGCTTCGAATTTTCTGCTGGTGTAAACATTGTCTGCTGTACGATGGTCATGGATTGCAGTGTCTAAAAGGTACGATGACTGTATTGAAAGAGACACAATTATACAAGACATGCATTCCACGATAGAATAAGTAGATTAGTTTTGCCTTGGATATCGGGCACATTTTTATAAAGACATATTCAATAAAAAAGGAGATATTATTTTCATAAAATATGAAGTATTCAAGTATTGACTAATGTGTTTTCTCTWCTGGACGGTGAGATCCCATTAATAAGCTTAAGATTTCTTTTTGAATAATTTCGAACTTCAAGAGTGTTTTAGTGTCTTTTCAAATTAAGAATCTGTTTTCATGGGAATGACGGAGCTAAAACTTGTACATCGTAATAAAGATTTTGCTTGTTCACTTGTAGAAGAGAAAGCTTGACTTAAAAGAAAATATAACAATGCGGTTCAGTAGGTACCGTCATTTCGGACATTTCAGTATRTGGTTCCCCCTGATTAACGAATTATGCAACTAGAAAAAAGGTTTTGTCAACCCAAAGGCCTTTCATTAGTTGTCATTTTTTGTCCTCTTTTTTTCAAAAGAAAACACAGATCGAAAAAGTCAAAATATAGCGTTCTTTGATTCTAGACTACAATGCACAGGTTTTGCATGTTAAGGCAATAAACCCTTTTAGCGATCTCTTTTACGCTGTGTTAGCCTCAAAACCATGTAATTAATTCTTTTATTCAAAACAGCCCGTGCAAATGCAATAGATCTGTGAGTGTAGAAGACAATGAAAATAGTTTCAAATGATCACGAGTTTTGTCTACATTTCTGAATATTTTAGCACACAATTGAGGCTAACACAGCATAAAAGAGATCGCGAAACTCGACTATTAATTTGCGTTATAACCGTGAGCAGAGTATAATGGCCGCGAGGATCCATATATGACACAAGCGTATATCTGCCCCTAACAAGCGAATAGAAGCACCTATCAAGCGAACAGAGGTCCATAATGTTTTATTTATTTGTACTTGTATATTTTTCTACATTCTTTTATCGACTTATTCGAACTTTTTAGCACTTATTAAATATTTCCTCAACAAATTTTAACTTAGAACTATGAATTCAGCATCAGTTATAGCCTGACCCGTCTTTCCCATAAACCTATCCCTTTGACTAGGAATAGACCTTATCGGCTAATGGCGTTGCTATGTACGTTGCCACCCAATTCAAATCCTGTGGGAAAAAGAACTTTTGTTTCTAAGAATTCAACAGTGAAATTAAAATACAACGAACAATGAAATTTACTCCTGGATGATTTGAATTGGGTTGATTACATGGTATTCTGCGTGCCTATTGCACTTGCAAATTGAAATATAAGGCATTATATTAGGTGAGGGTAAAAAGGTAGGGTAACTCCTGATGCTCCTAAATCTTTAACCACGAGCTTTCTGCCAAATGACTTCCATGAGACAAGAAACCCAAAAAACAGTAATACAGACCTGCGGAGGACGGTTTGGTGTAACTGCAGTTGGGAAAAGATTACCTGAACATGTTCTCTTTGCAGCGTTGGTACAGAAATGAGGAGCGCACTTCTCACAGTTGGATACGGTGGTGTTGTGGCCGCAGATCCTACATTCTCCTGTCGTTACAGTTCCCTTCAACGCTTGTGTCCACGTTGCCGCTACAGCTGTATTTGCGATACTAATTGCAGTTAGCATCCTATCAAAGGAAGAGCAAAAACGGCCATGCACGACTATTTCGGAAGACATGAAAAGGATTACAACTCTTATCATAACTTGTCGCACAAAATGGCATCGCTGTACATTGCCTATTAGATTTGATTGGAAAACAATAATAGTACTACATAAGTCTTCTGGCCCCAGTTATAGGAAGGGAGATAGCGTTATCCACTATTAAGATAACCTACCGTATGCCGTAAACGTTGTTGAAACAGGCGGTGATGGTAATCGATACACGATCGGCTGACCTTTCCTTTGAGAATGACATCGCCCTTGATAGAATTCTCGGGAGAGGTGTGATTATAATCTTGCCTAAGCCTGAAGGATGTTTACGCAAATCGTCCTTCTTTGAAGTACTTTGCGGGAGCGGAAAAACACCGTTCATCGCGAGCTTAATTCCCTTCGAATAAATTCCAAAATTATTAAAAAAGTTCAAAATACATTTGTGCCAACTACGTCAATATGACCTTCAATTTACATTTTATCACAGGACAAATTAGTGCAAAAATACTTTTCAAGGAAGATATTTGTCAAAAACACAAAAACAATGATCGTAAAGTTACAACAGATTCAGCCAAATGGCAGTTTCATGCTAAGAATGCATGGGGATTATGACTAATTAGATTGTAGTACCCATCCTGAAAGCATAAAACAAAGACCATGTAAGCATTCGCTGCATTATACAACTGAGAGACATTCACAACTCCTATGTCAGAACAACTGCATTCTGGGAAAACAAAATCATTCAGGTAAAAACTAATTCAGGAATGGAGGGATGAGGGATGCCACATAGTTGGGAGAGCACTAAGACAGCGTAAGAGATGCTCAAGACGCAGTCGAGACAATCTCGCACCCCGAGCCTTTGTTCTCTTGACCAGCGCCCAAAACGTAAGACTCTGGGGAATTGGAATTTTCTGCGAATTGTGATATAAATAAATGCCGCCGGAAGTGAAATTAAACCAAGGACAACGTTCAAATTCAGGTCTTATCTCGAAATTTTACCTTCTATTCTGGCCTTAAAATGATTTATTAAGTCATTAAAGTAAGAAATTGTGATGAACAAGATCAATAAATATTGAAATATTTTCCAGAGGAAATTCGATGGAAAGCCATTTGGAAAACGAGTCATGCGCAATGGAAACCTGAAGACAGAAATCAGTAGTAAAAATTCCGTTATCCCAGAGTCTTATGTTTGCATGAGCCATCTCCATGATCCGCATCCATCGATTTGTTTCATTGAAAACTAGCAAAGGAGTGCGGGTTATATGAAGTCTATGTTATAGCATTCAGATGGACAATATCTAGCATGATATTGTCCAGTGCTAGTAATTTTATAACATAGTGAGACATTTCATATTTTATGTTCTGATCAAGCGACAGATTCTCCTTATCGTGCGAGGACGAACTAAAAGTAGAACAACTTGAGTTTCAAGAGTCAGCATTTTTATTCTAACACACAAATGAGAGTCACAAAATTGTATCCAAATACCACACACAGGAGATGCATTCGACAAATATTTTGTTTCAATTTCAAAATAAAAGTTGGCTTGAAGAATTTTTCACTTAAAAGATCAACAATTTTTTTCGGAGTGTCTAAAAAAATAATCGAAACAACCGTAAATTCAATTAATACAACAAGGGAAATGCACTAAAGACCGAAATAATACTGTTCGACAAGTTTCAAACACAAGCACGGCATTTTGAGATTTGGCGTTTACTCCCAGAACTAAACGTCAGGCAGTTTAAATTTTTGTTTGAAAAATCGTCGGAACAAGCGTAATTTCAAATAATTTAAGAAGGGAAATGCAATAAAGGACAAAATTGCTTAAAATTCGACTGCCTGACGTTTAGTTCGGACACTCCGTTTATTTTTTATATTTTTTTTTAATACGCCAAGACTGCATGAGTATGCAATGAGTATGGATGGTACAGCTAAGTCATCTTAGACATGGTTTTTGATCTAGCAGCTGTATTGCTGTTTTGCTCAATTTTGTTGACATCTTGCTGATTTCTCTGAGAACTGTGGCTGATTTTAGTTATCTTTCGATGCCGTAGCAGAAACCTACTAGGTGGGTCTTCTTGTCGTAAGTCTAGCCATCCTGTCTCTAGCGTAAAAAACAATATTGTCAGGTGGTACGGAAGTTTATTTATCAATTTTAAGAAGAAAAAATATCTGTTTGAAATCTGAAAAAATACTTACCTTAAAAGAAGAAACACAGCAGTTATCGTTTATCTTAGTATTTTGGATGCTCTGTCTTCAAAAATCTCGCTCATTTAGATTAGCAAACTAACTCTTAGTCCCACTATTGTTTTGTTTGTCTTTTTTGGTAACAATTGTCTTTGGCTCTAAATTTAGAAATCCAAACTTAAAGTTTTGGCGATTACTTATATTGCATGAAAACGAAAAGTTTAAGACTACTCCCAAAAAGAAAGAAAGAAAAAATTGGAATATTTTTTTCCCTGTAGTATGACGTGAGCATTGACCATCTCAATGACCCATCCATTTCATTTTCATAGAAAACTAACCAATCAGAGCGCGCGACATATAGTATCTATGATATAACAGACATAATCATCAGTATCTCTAGTCATCAAAAACTATTTTTAATCATCAATGTCTATTATTATTATTATCATCATCATTCTATTAATAACATTATCATCATCATCCTATCCATTATCATCATCACCCCTTCCATTATCATCATTCCCATTCATTATTATTATCATTCTGTAAATATCATAATCATCATCGTCCCCTCCATTATCATCATCAACCATCACCGCCAGATTATTGGTACCTTCACAGCCAAGTAAATTGGAATCCTTTAGATTCCAAAATGTTGGTTTGCATGTATCACATGCTCTTCCATGTACTCTTTGTTTACAGTGGCACTGTCCTGTTGTGGGGTGGCAGTGTGTACGATTCCATACGTTGGGTACACCGTTAAGATTACATCCACATGCTATAAAAGCAAATTTGTATATTTCATGAA